ATTATATGACGCGATAAGCACTGACCAACATGAATAGGGTGTTGTAGCATGACTCTAAGGTGTGAACATATTTGCACATAAATCGAGCCTAACGTTGTGTAGTTCAGCTGCAAAGTCGAGATAATTGGGATATGACTCATAGAATTAATATCAACAATATTGGTACTATGCTATGTGAGTAGTTGTGCGTATAAAAGTGAATAGTCACTGAAGGGGTACGAACAGAAAGTGGAAGAGATATTTGTATGAATAATTTTCTGATTTTTATCCTTTCGCCCCCTGATTTGAAGCTATTTGCACCGCAAAATTTGCATTTCTTCTCAAATGCATCAACCTCTACTATAACTTGCTTTTGTTAACACACCAATATATCTTTTTCAGATAGTAACTCAAACTTCAAAATTTAATTTCTAATTCTGTTCAAGTCATCTGGAACTAAATTCTCTGTAGGATTCGTTTCCTTTAATAATATTACTACCTGATTAAAGCATTATGTGGATATGTTGAAATCAGATTTATGCTCAACATTCTCAATGTTACCGATAACTACATATGAGTAGTGCGGCCTTTTCACAAAGTTTATTGTGTAGCATTTAATAAATCATTGAATTGTTGTGCTTCATTGTTCAGTTCTTGATCATCATCATGTACACTCCTAAGAAAATGAGCCTTGTTAGTATCACCAATCTTTCCCTCATATATGCTATAATCGTGTTCTCTCAGAGGGGCGTAACTTGATGAGGCACCATAATGACCATATTGAACATCTGTCTCAAACTCATAATGTGAAGTCCAGTACCAATGATTGGGTTTAAATTCCTTATGGTATAGATCCAACTTCTTTTTTTTAGATGTCGGTATTCTTGATTCATGTACTTCACACAAAGACATCGAAACTTGCCTTCTGAAAGGTAAATGGACAGCTGTGATTCCACCTGTTCAAATTTATCAACACTATTCAGGAACTCATCGATCAGTCATTTTCTTTCTCAATACAATCTGTTATACATCCATGTTCTCAAGTTTCGAAAATCCATCTACAACATATATTTAGCTTTATATATTTAAAATTTTGTTGTACAAATCACACAAATCACATATATTACATACATAAAAGCTCACTAAATGTGGTTTGATACATGAATCTTTTTTCGCCTTACGTCTTATTCAATGTCATATTTTTCATTTAATTATAATAGATTAAGATCATTTTTTATACAACATGCCTAGGTCTTTTTAGAGCATTGAAATACTTAACCCCATCTTATAAACTTATCTTTAAGTCTAAGAGATACTTTTCTTTCACACAAGAAACTCAATGTATTACTCCACTTCAATCATCCAACTTGAATTATCTAATAATTAATATCCCGACTATATCACCATGACATTGAACAATGGATCAGAAACTATAACACCGAAATTTTAATTTTTACATTGTAGAAAAGAAAAAGTCAAAAGTCTCGGGAAAGGGAGACTCAAACAAGAAAAAATGTATCCCTAGATGACGTAGAGGAGGATTTCTCGCCTATACCGTGAACTCACAGGTGGAATTTGGCCAGAGACGTTGGATTGAGCGTTCGAGAGGGAGAAGCATTGATGGGGTCGAATAGTGGAGGAAGAAAGCAAAATGAACGAATGAGATTTCTAAGTCGGTGGGAGGGTTTTTAGTGCATTAGCATCGGCCTTAACGTTGACATTCTTTGATGCTTTACTTAATAGCGTCAAAAATTCCGAGGCAAAGTCGATGCTAAGTCGAACTCTACTTAATAGCGTCCAATTTTTTTTCACCAGTGAACATCGTTCGACAAAAAGCGGACGCAGATTGGATGCTAATTTTGTGTCCAAAAAAAATTCGATGCTAAGTTTTACGCTAAATCACATGTTTTCTAGAACTCTACTTAATAGCGTCCAATTTTTTTCACCAGTGAATATCGTTCAATAAAAAGCGGACGCAGATTTGATGCTAATTTTGTGTCCAAAAAAAATCCGATGCTAAGTTTTACGCTAAATCACATGTTTTCTATAGTGTCTTCATTTGATAAAACTTAATACGTAGATTAAGGATCCTATATCTAAGTATATCTTCTCTTCTTTGACTAAATCACTTTATATGTGACAAATTTTTGTATATGGGCCATCATCTTGATCGTTAGCCTTATATCAATGATTTTGGGGTTGGTATCATGATACCTTTTTTTTTCACTCTTTTTTATTGAGTGCTAATTGATTTGTTAAACATATTCTTTGTTAATCATGTGGACAACTTTTATCCATGTAATATTAGGTCTTCCTATTTTTCTTCTTAATTATCTTTACTTTGTTTTCCTCATCTCATTTAACGGTTGCATATTTTTACCCAGCATCACGCTCACAAATAATGAGTTTATTTTTAATCATTTTATGTTTAATATATGCCATTTTTAACATTTCCTCTTATATAATATTTTATTAATTTATTATTTCTCATTTTGTCATAAATTCAGTTTAACATTTTTATTTATGTCACAATCAACTTAATATCAATAATTTTCTTACAACCCAACATTTAGATTCTTTTAACATTGCCAACCTAATTGTAGTTCTATTAAATATATTTTTAAGCCTCTATAATATCCTCTTATAAATCAAGTTTTAACCATTGAAGTTATGACTTCGTTTATATTTCTATTAATCTTTATAATGAACAATGATAATTGAACATTTCATATTTAGGCATCAATTTATATTTTAATCATCAGATAATATTTCTTAATATTATACTTACTAGAATCACATTTTTAGTAGTTTTAAGGCCTCCATCTCGTAAGCATTTATTAATGTAGCATGTCACTATTTTTAATGAATGTGTACTAATTTGAATAATATGATCCGCAACATATTTATAGTTAGGGCTGTATCTCCAACAAGGATTGGGAGTGAGACTGGACTGCTATACATAATTTTTTCATAGCATTTATTATTGTCAGCTAATGTGGCCCAATTTTTCAGTTTTCATATTTTGTTGTAATAAGCGGCGAAGTTAATCTTAAGAAATCGACATTGCTATAATAGAGTTATATCTAATCAAAGAGGTAGAGAAGATTAACTTATTTGGATTAAGCCGATGGGTAAGATGGATTTGATAATTAAGAATAGAAAATTCAGCCATGGACGTGCAACCTATTTTGCCTAGTGGTAGAGTGCTTTTTTTTTCAAACACACAGGATTCTGAGTTCAAGCTCAACACACAAATATCCGGGAGTCTGGAAAAAAAAAAAAAAAAACCATTTCATTCATACACACAATAAAATAGTGTGTTAATGTTAAACCTCACCGTACCTCCAAAATATGTCAAACATAATCCAACTATTTGGATGACTGACCCAACCTGAATAACCCAACTTGGACAACCAACTGACAACATGATCGACCCAGCCTGGACAACCGATCCAGTTTGAATGACCGACCGGTAGCCTGGATGACCAGAAGTTTAGACGAACAAAAGCTTGGAGGGTCAGCAGCTTAGACAAGCTTGAAGATAGCCAAACTATGAGCTCACTTATATAAAATACCAAAAATAACTTATACATCCCTCATTAAAGCAATATTAGAGATGTAATTTTCCTTCATTGCAACCCCTGTACTATAAATAGGACGATCTTTTCATATAAGTGGGACTTTTGGCCCTCTCTCTTCTTGTTTTCTTAAAGATTTCAATTATATAAAAATGGCCACATGAGCTTGAGAATACCTGAATTTTATTCACAGGGGCAAGTCACGATGCACCCTTCCTCCCTCTATCTCTTCTCTCTCTTTCTCTCTCCTTTTTAATGCTCTAATTCCTTGAGATGTGATCCAATTACAAATTTGGATTCAACATTCTGAAGTGTGAGATGAGCGTAGATCATGCCACCAGCAAAAAAAGGAGCAACACAATGAGAATAATTGATGGTCAAGTTTGGTCAGTCCAGGTCCCAATCGACAAAGCTAGAATGACCGGAAGTCCAAACGACCAAAAATCCAGATGAATAGAAGTCAGGTGACCATAAATCTGGATGACCAGAAGTCCGGTGACCATAAATCTGGATGACCTGAAGTCCAGACGACCAAAAGTCTGGAAAACTAGAAATCTAAAGGAACAAAAGCCCAAATGACTACAAGTCATGACAACTGGAAGTCTGGACGACAAGAAGTCTGGAAAACTAGAAGTCCAGATAACCCAAAGTTCTAAGGATGAGCAGAAGAACACATGATCAGCAGTTGGGAACTCCATAAGCCCGGAATAGAAGTCGGGACAACCAGAAGTCTGGACGACCGTAAGGCCAGACTCCAAACGTCCAACAATATATGACAACCCATAACAATAAAAATGAGCTTTTGTTTCAACTTTTATGCGTTTCATTCATAAAAATAATCGATAAACTTTTCTAACTATGTGCATGATACCAGATCTGATCACTAACACCCAGGAAACTCAAGAAGTTTATGCAAGGTATCGCCAAAATCTGACTAACACTCAGGGAACTTGAATCCGAGTAGGGAAACCGAAAATGACACAAGATGTTCGATTGGTAGAATATTTTAAAATCTGACAGCGACGACTAACATCCAACCGGCAAGCCGCATAAAACCGACTCAATGCTATGCATCGAAAATCTTTTCTCCTAGCTCGACACAAGTTTAGCCCTAGAGATGGTTCTCTGCTCATAAGCGATAAGATTTGCATTGAGTGGCTTGCAAATTATTTTGGCGGTGAGTTTCTGCAGTTATCTCTATGAAGGTGGTGACAAGATTCACACATGGCGAAAGGTGAGGCCCGATCGAGGCGCCTACTTAATTGAGCAGAATTGATAGGTATAGTGCAAGTTTTGAGTTGAGCGGTCGATACAAATCGAAACCAACAAAAGAAATCTCAAAATCAAATGTTTCACCATGACCAACATCACAAGCAATTGATTGCCACAATGACACCACAAGCGATCAATGGTAAAGAGAGTGTAGTATAAGGTAAAACAAGACAGGTGAAAACTGAACGAGAGCTCCACTTTATTTTATGCTAAAAAAATTTTCATAGAATTTCTTATACGTTTACTTACAAGTGTTCAAATTGAAAAGAAGTTCTCTGAGTCACGTATAAGACCAATAGCCAGGCCAGATCAACTGATTGAAAAAATACCAACCGAGACGGTTTTACTGGCCCGAAAACCTTAAAGCACTTTAGAATCATAAAAAATGAAGTTCAAATTATTCATTTCTCGATTAAGAGTAGATGCAATAACCATTTTGCATTAAATGTTTTTGTTTTTTTGGCAGTTTCCTTTCAAAGGGATAAGAGAATTAGAGAACTAAATATTTATTTTAAAAATGTCTGACAGAAACTAATAGTCTGGACTGCTGACCCAGTCTGAATAAGTCAGCTTGGACGGCTGGCCGACAACCTAGACGACCCACCCAGCCTGGATGACCGACAGACAGTTTGGATGACCAGAAGTCTATTTGAACTGAAGTCCGGACAACCAACAGCTTGGATGAGTCTGAAAATAGCCGCGTCATTAGCTCACTTATTTAAAATACTCAAAATAACATGTAAAATCTTCATTAAAGTTGAGTTAGAGATGCAATTTTCCTTGATTGCACTCACTCTACTATTAATAGGGAGGTTTTTTTCATGTAAGAGATACTTTTGGCTCGCTCTTCATGTATTCATAAAGATTTGGATTATATAAAAAGGACCATAAGAGCCCGGGAATATCCCAATTTACCTCGGAGGGGCGGCTCACGGCGCAATCCTCCCTCTATCTTTTTCTCTCGTTTCCAATGCTCTAATCTCTTAAGGTGTGATTCAAGGACAAATCTGGATTCAACATACTGAAAGGAGCGGTGAGCATGGATCATGCCGCCAACAAGAAGAACTGATGTAATTTTGGTCGACCAAGCCCCAATCGACACATCCGGAATGACAAATAATTCAAACGACCATAAAATTGGATGTGTAGAAGTCCAGATTACCGGAATTCTTGACAACCAAAAATTCAGACAATTAGAATTCCAAACAACCAAAAATCCAGACGACCAAAATTTGAGATGACCAGAAGTCCGGACGACCAGCAGTGCGAACAACCAGAAGTTCGGACGATCAAAAGTCAGAACAACTAGAAGTTTGGGCGACCAGAAATCTAGACAAACCGAAGTCCAGACGGTTAGGAACTTAGAAATCCAGATGACCAGAAGCCTGGACGACTAGAGGCCTATATTAGAACTAGAAGTTTGGACGACCAAAAGTCCAGATGACCAAAAGCTCAGTCGATCAGAAGTCCTGACGACCAGAAGCCTAAACGACCATAAGTCCAGACGACCAACAGTTTCGTTTCTTCTTTTATGTGTTTCATTCATAAAAATGATAAACACAACTTTTCTAATTATGTGCATGATCCCAAGTCCGACCAATTCCCGAGGAACTTTAAGAGTTTATGCAAGTGTTCATCAAAATCCGACTTACACTAGTGGAACTTGAACTTGAGTAATAGAACCGATAATGACACAAGATGTCCGATCGATATAAGTTATTTCAAAATCTGACCGTGTAGCAAGATGCACGATCGGTATCAGCCTCGAGGCTTGAGTGACAGTGACGACTAACATCCGACAGGAAAGCGACATAAAAATTGATTTAACGCCAAGCATTGAAAATCCTATCTTCTAGCTCGACACAAGTCTAGCCCTGGAGATGGTTCCCTACTCATCAGTGACAAGATCTGCGTTGAGTGGCATGCAACTTATTCTAGCGGTGAGTCTCGATGGTTACCCTTGTGAAGGTAACAACAAGTTTGCGTCTGGCGAAAGGTGGGGCCCAACCGAGGCACCTACTTAACCGAGGAAAAGAGATACGTAGGGTGTGATTTGAGCCAACAGGTCGGTACAAATCAAAACCAACAAAAAAAATAAATTCTCAAAATCGAATGCTTCACTATGGCCAACATCACAAGCAATCGATCACCACAAACACACCACAAGCAATAAATGGTAAAAAAAAATGCAAAAAAGCTAAAATAAGAAAGGTGAAAATTGACCGAGAACTCCAATTTATTTTATGCTCGAAATAGTTTCATAGACTTTCTTATACGTTTACTTACAAGTGTTAAAAAAGAAGTGAAAATTTCTCTAAGTTACAGATAAGACCATCAATCAGGCCATATCAACTGACTGAAAAATACCGACCAAGCTAGAGGTCAGTAAAACCTAGCCAACCGAGACTGTCCTACTGACCCGTAGACTTTAAGAGAGCACATCAAAGTCATAAAAAAATGAAGTTAAAATAATTCAATTTTTGAGTAGATGCGATAATATTCTTTGCATTAAAATTTTCTTCTTCTTTTCACAGTTGTCTTTCAAAGAGATAAGATAATCGGGAAACTAAATATGTACCTCAAAAATATATCAGACAGAATCCCGCAGTCTCGATGACCGACCTAGCCTAAACGGCCGACCGACAGCTTGGACAACCAGAAGTCCAGGCGGATAGAAGTCTAGACGAGCCTGAAATAACCGAGCCACGAGTTCACTTATATAAAATACCCAAAATAAATTATTCAACTCTCATTAAAGTAGGGTTTGAGATGTAAATTTTTTCATTGCACTTTCTCTACTATAAATATAGATATTTTTTCATGTAAGGGCGGCTTTTGACCCTCTCTCTCTTCATGTATTCATAAAGATTTTAACTATATAAAAATGGTCACAAGAGCCCGGGACTATCCCAGTTCTGCCTTAGAGGAGCAAGTTGCGGCGCACTCCTCTCTCTATCTCTTCCCTCTAATCCTTTGAGGTGTGCTCCAAAGATAAACCTGGATTCGACACTTACATATAAAAAAATTGTGCACAATAACCTTAACAAGTTACACATCATTTTGAAAAAAAAAAATGAATAAAGAATGAAGTCTTTTAAAAATATTCCAAATAATTTGGCTAATATGAGAATTTGATGCTGGAACAAAGGTATTTATCTGAGTTGCAGGATGAGAAGAAGTTGAAGGAGGTGTTGAGGTTTGCAAATGCTTGTGGGGCCATTACCACCACTAAGAAGGGAGCAGTCCCTGGTTTGCCTAGTGAAGCTGAGGTGTTGGAGTTTCTGAAGAAAGCTTGAGTGTGGTTTTGGGTTATTTTTTTTTTTCGACAATTTAATTTCTCGTTAGTAACTTAGTCTGTACTACGTAGTAAATCAGATTAGATTTACATCCTTAGGTATCTTGACATTTCACTGTTGTAATTCTTTTTACTCTCTGGAGAAATAAATTACAGAGAGATTAATTGTTGGGAAGATTTACATACATACCAATCAATTCTTTTGCATTTATATATCCAACCCCTACACATTAATTTTTACAAATACGCCACCTTATTTCACTTCTTAGAAGCTAAAACAGTGTTATTTTTGATGTGATGTAAAAGATTTGAGTGTTATAAATGTAAACAAACCTAAAATTTTGTTGTTAGATATGTAAATTATAAGAATTGGGTGGTATGTAAATATCCTTAATCGGATGTTCCCAATTTCATGCATTTATTTTTTTTCGCATTATGGTTAAGAAGAAAAGATGAATATCTTTGTGTTTGTTTGTGGGTTATTGGATGATATTCTTGTTGGTTATTTATATTTTGTCATTAATCAATTGTCAGGAAATTGCTTTTCATATGATCACTTAAAGGGCTTTTTTATGTCATCAGATGAGCTTTTTTTACCTTCTGAAAGTTTTTTAAATGATTAGATTTTGCAATTTTCTCATGGTTATATTATGGGAGAGGGTGACATGGTAGGAATTGGGTGAGGTTGAGGCTAAGGCCGAGGTCGAGGGTGATGGGAGATCAAGCGAGTTGATGAAAGAGGCGAGGTTGAGCGAATGATGGTGACAATGGCGGGCAATGAAAAGATGTATGCTAAGGCATGAGGCTGAAAAGATTTTGAAATTAGCTGATTTGATTAATTTTGAGGTGCTGAAAAATCAGGATGTTTGGAGTATCTATAATATCATGAACTTTTTATTGTGCATTTATTTTATTTTAAGTCAAACACTAATATAAGTTAATGCATGTTAAATGGGATAATTGCTTGTCACAAATTTATAATATAACGAGATGTATTGTATGGAATATTGATCCTCATGAGAGTGGTAGGGGTGTTAAATTACATGGAGCAGACATCATATATTTATAAATTTATTTATAAATTTATACATTAATATGCGTGTGTGTTTATGCATGAACATTAATCCCCCTCACTATTAAATAAACCCACCGTATGCTCAGTTGGGCTGGGGGCATTATGTTCCTCAAAATAGAGATTGGTTTCGGCATAGGCTGGTTGATGAAAGAGGCGAGGTTGAGCGAATGATGGTGACAATGGCGGGCAATGAAAAGATGTATGCTAAGGCATGAGGCTGAAAAGATTTTGAAATTAGCTGATTTGATTAATTTTGAGGTGCTGAAAAATCAGGATGTTTGGAGTATCTATAATATCATGAACTTTTTATTGTGCATTTATTTTATTTTAAGTCAAACACTAATATAAGTTAATGCATGTTAAATGGGATAATTGCTTGTCACAAATTTATAATATAACGAGATGTATTGTATGGAATATTGATCCTCATGAGAGTGGTAGGGGTGTTAAATTACTTGGAGCAGACATCATATATTTATAAATTTATTTATAAATTTATACATTAATATGCGTGTGTGTTTATGCATGAACATTAATCCCCCTCACTATTAAATAAACCCACCGTATGCTCAATTGGGCTGGGGGCATTATGTTCCTCAAAATAGAGATGCTCAGTTGGGCTGGGGGCATTATGTTCCTCAAAATAGAGATTGGTTTCGGCATAGGCTCACAAGATTGGTGTGCGATTATGAGCTCCATACATTGGAAATCAATGATCTTGCAGAGTTTAAGATGGATCGAATGGATGTTAAGATGCATGGCGGGGCTCGGGTTGGGGCTAGGGCTAGGGATGCCAACAATCCGATTTTGTGCCAAGTTGAGATTGGCTCAAGATTGATTGACTTTTATTGGATAAAAAAATTTGGCTTCTAGTTCAGCTCGTTTATTTTGATATGATCTCAATCCGAGAAAAAAATTGAAGCAATTTTCAGGCGATTAACGATCTTCAAGCTAAATTTATTAAATTCATAGTCATACCATACCAATAAAAGAAGAGTAATACATTGTTGATTTTCGAGCGTGTTTTGCCCATGGACAAAACATACCAAAACATGCTTGATGTAACATGCTCGATGAGACACGCTTCTATCAAAACATGCTCGATGCAAGGGCAAAACATACTAATGGAAGAAGGGTAATTTGGCCAGTATGGGACACAGACACATCACTGATGTACGAGGACAAATTCGTCATCCAAAAATGGAGAGAGAAGGAAGTTCTCAGCGGAGTCGCCATAAAGAATCCCGTCGGGCTTTATTTTTGCTTTGGGGTTGGGCTTTTGAATGCTGTGTAGATTTGAATATTTTCGTTCAAATAATCAAGCACATCATAGAAAGTAGTAAACCACCTTGAAATGTTGATATACAATTTTACAATGGGTTTAGTTATTCGAACAGAAACATTGGATATCTGCACTGGTCTGCGGTTTAAACCAAATAAATTATTTCCCCTATCTAATCTGAAGGCTAGAAGAAGTTTAAATTAGTTCTAGGGTCTTCATGTTCCTATAAGGGCAAGCCATATGATTACTTACGTTTTAAACAACCAATGTTACTTAAGAAAACTCTCGATTACGGTTGCAGTTTTGTCCTTAAGAAATTTGTATATTTAGGTTTCCACGATTAGATATTGGATTTCAAAATGGGAAAAGCTCAAAAATTGAACAGTTGTTAACGGAAGCCGGAGGGAGAAAAGGTAGGAGACACTTGAAGATACCAAGGAAACCTCAATAGTTTCTCAGACTATCAAGTTGAAGAAAATTTCATGTTTCATCATGATGTTTTATTGGAATGTTAGGATTTATACTACACGACATACAATCATACAGAAGCCTAAAGGTCAGGGTTTACGTCATAACTAGACGGACAACCTCGAAGTCTCGGGATGAAGTTCATTGAAAGAAGTGAAACTTCAGAGCCCTAACCTAAAAAGAAGGGAAACATATAATGTAATGGACTTACGACCTTGCCTGGAAAGGGGTGTCATCTAAACCACCTAATCACCTTCATAACAATGCATGGCCGGTCTCGATGATGCAAGATAGGGTAGGTTGTTGTGTTTAGGAGTAATAGGTCTTACGACTTAATTATAAATCAAGTTTTCTAAGTATGTATTGTATTCATAATGTCTCAAGACTACTGGGAATTTATTTTGATATTTTAAAAATAAGTGTTCTATGTCTCACCACACTGATATGTTTAGTTGTATTTGATTAGTGTCGAGTGCATCGAAGCAAGCTATGTAATGGGTTATGTAAGTCTATTATGATGCATGCATAGGTCTATTAAAAAATTCAATCGGTATGTATAGGTAGAACTTACTCTATAAGGTAGTGGTTCTCACGGGTCAAACTAATCATTTCCTTGCAATAAGTGAGGGCCTGAAGGTAAGGAGTACGAGCGATATGTTATGCATATGCCAACATATCATGTTGTCATTCATTATCCTAAATCGAAAAAAAAGTTTCTACTTAGTTTTATTTGATGTCAATCAAGGTTTACTTCAAATGCATGTTGTTTCGACAGTTGTGAATGCAATGATTTATGTGGTTTAGTTTTAGTTATAAGTTTTGTTTTGAAAAATTAAATTGAAGTTATTTAAATTGGGGTAGAAGGCTTAGTCCTTAGGTAAGCCTACAGGAAATCCGGGCAAAGAGAAGAAATGTAAATATTGACCTATAATACGGGCAAGCCTATCAAAGGAATACAAACAAATTGATAGTATGGGTACCATCTCTAACCTATGTCAGACTCGTCAACTGATATCATCCGAACAACTATTGATGGTTTAGTTGAGGTTCATCATTCGCATTGTGTTTCCTCTTCTTTTGGATAGTTCAGATGTTTATAGTTAATGACCACAACACTTCCTAACTCTATAAAAGAAAAGAAGACTCAAAAGATAAACCCTAGGTTACTACAACAACCTATTTATTTATAACAACCTTGCAATATAAAGTTAACACACCATAATAATATGTAAAGTAAATCTAAGGCTGCAGTTCATTTCAACAGCCATGCAGAATAGAGTTAGAATGCTTAATATAAATGTATTTATTTGATTATTAATGAGTTAATTATTTTAAGACAACTTGGTCAAGATGCCCATGACTTTCTGTTATACTTGGGTTGTCGAGTTCACCGATTTACTTAGTTCAAAGAGGCAGTTAAACCTACTCCGACCAGAAGATTCTTATTAACAACCATGGGTTGCATCATTCGAGAAATCTTCATAAACCCGGGTAGTAGTGTTATAATTGCGATTGATGATCTTTGTTCATTAGAATTTCATTTAAGTTTTACTGTCTTTCTCCAATTTTAGGGGGTTGAAAATTTAAGTTTACGTAAGACTTCTTACCCAATTAAATTTTTTTGTATTATTTTTATTTTATTTTTAATGCTGAAATGACCTGGTCAAGATCTCATTGTTCCGTCCTCTCAGGGTCATTTGGGTTCGTGGCTTGATTTGTCACAAGTGACCGAAAGGTACTTTATTAATAGCCATAGGTTGCTTCCTTCAAAGTTCCTTCTCAAACTGGGTTATGTTTTATAGTTAAAGTTTAAGTTTTAGTAATTTTTAAGGTTTATTTTTTTATATCTACAAATTTTTCACTTCGGCCCATATTATCTCTGGAGTGTGTTTTAATTCAAGTGTGCTTTTACTCTTTTATGAGAGATCAAACACTCCTTAAGTTTATTTGTTTATAGGTAATGAGTTGAGTTGTTGTTGATTCAGGTTGGTTTGATTTAGCCCTGGTTAAATTGGGTAAATTCAAGCTCTATATTAGCCTAGTTCAGGCTTGATTAGTCCAAATTGGTTTATGTTGATTTAAGTTAGCCTAGGTTAGTCCAAATTGGTTTAAGTTGATTTTAGTTAGGCCAGGTTAGTCTGAGCTAGTCTAAATTGGTTTAATTTGATTTGGGTTAGCCCAAGTTTGGCTGGGTTGAGCTAGGTTTGATTTAAGTTTATTTGGGTTAGCCCAAGTTTAAGTTTGATTTGGGTTAGTTGATCCAGGTTGGTTTAAGTTTGATTTAGGTTAGCCCAGGCTTGTTTGTGTTGACCCAAGTTGGCTTTGAATTTGAATTTAGGTTAGTTTTGAGCTAAGTTTAGAATTTGGTTGGGTCAAGTCTACAGTGGGTTAGACTTTAGTTAAGTTTTAGGTTAAGTTAAGTTTAGAATTTAGTTAAGTCAAGTCTATGTTAGGTTAGACTTGAGTTAAGTTTAGAATTTGGTTAAG